GATCTGTCGTGGGAAGTGAGGAGTTCGTTTGTTATACTTCCTCCAGGCACTGCTAGCTTAGTGTATATGTTTGGAGAGCAACCTATAATGAAATAAATGCTTATATTCAGTAAGTCCACAGCCAATGGATCTGTTGGTTTTAGTTCATCTGAGTGACTCTCTTTGCAGTATTTGCTTGGTTATTGTGCTCTTCCATTGAGAAGGAATGGCTGCATATTTCTGGCCATGTCATCATGAGTTGTGAGTGACAAACCAAGTGACATGATTTATTTGATTACTGCAATGCTTGTGAATAGCTCAGCACTGACAGCCTGGGAGGAAAAGTACCATTAAATGCCCTGGGATAGACATAAGATGGGTCACAATACTAGAAGGTTTTCTCTTCCAACCCAGGCATTGTGCCTCATTTCTGAAGTTACCATCCCATTGACTTATTTGCTGGGCTGTCACATCAGCTATAGCAATATTTTTGACACCACTATATTTCGTGACATTTGTTCCTTAAAAAATGGGAATAAGGTCACACTAAGCAGCTGTGAATAGCCATCAACTTTCAGTCACCACCAGCCTAGATGACATTTGAAACAGCAGCTTTGGTTGGGGATGAAAGGCTCTCCTACTGACAGTGCCTTCAGCCAGTCAAAGATGGAAGTAGGAATGAGAAGTCTGAGATGCATATTTAAAATTGCAGGAACAGCACTTACTATGAAGACATTGTTTGAAATAGTGTCTAGAGGGCAACAGGAGTGTGCTTAATTCTTTCATTTTTTTAGTCTGAAAACTTAGATTTTAAAATTATGTTTCATATCTTACATAGGGTCCCAGTTAGTCCACAGAAAAAATAAACTGCTGATTTGTTTTACTGTAGTATTAGCTAAAGATACAATTTCCATTCACAGAAAAGCCTCTAACAGGCTCTAAGTGATACTTTATTAACAGCATGTGTCAATATTTAAGTGATGCCAACATGGACCTAGAAGCATCTGGTGGTTCTGATTAACCATAGCAGCTCCTGTGTTACCTGTGCTCTCAGCCAGTGTCACTAAAGTTGAGCAAGAACTGAGTACCTGCAAATGTAATTAGCTTGATTGTATTAAATATTTATGAAAAAGCAAGGAAGCATCACTTTATGAGGTTAAAATAGATGTGTTTGGGAAAGAGAAAAAAACAGTTTGTGAGAAAGAGCATTTTGAGGTGTCTTGCTTGTGTCTGTATATACAGACATGGTGGTGGCTTGTAGAAAAGCATCTGTTGAGCATGCAAATGGTAAACATCTCAGCAGTTGTTTATTTGAGAAGATAACACTTGAAGGTGCAGCTATGCTCCCAAAAACCTTTCCTCAGCCAAGAAGAAGTTTCAAATAAAAAACTCCTTCTTTTTCCATTATTTCTCAGTTTACGTCACAGACATCAAGCTTTTGGGTTACTTGAAACCTCAATAGAGAAGGAGCATTTCTTTCTCTTCAAAATGGTGAGAAAGTAGTTTACTGCTTAGGTCATTTATCTGAGTTGTAAATTACAAAGCGTGAGTTATGACTAATCAGAGAAAGCAGTTCAGTATTATGAAACCAACCTTAAGAAAAATAATTGTCCCCTAAATTTCTATGCTTTCTTGAAATTTGAATTACAAAAATCCCTTCTTAGCACAAGAATGCAAAACTCCTCAATTTATTAGTGAAGTCAATATTCCAGCTGATGTTTTGTATTGTTTCATTTCCTGCACTCATCTTTAGCAGCACCATAATAGCTGAACAGTTTTCTTAAATTTTAGGAAACACTGAAGTTTACATATCAACTATTTCTTGCATTTCTTACGGCTCATCCTTGTTTAATAGGACTGAAGAGAGGAAAACTGCTGAATGGTTGTGGTCTTAATAAAGAAGAGTAATTTTGACATTCTTGTTAAATTGCAGTGAGTGTGCAACTAAACTGAGATTTAATTACATTTGTAATTAAAGGAATAGCTATTGATTATGTCATTGAATCTGTGTTGTAGCCAGTCCTAACAAACAGCAATATTACAAGAGATCATTAAACTAGTTGTTAAAATTCCAAATTAATGAGAACAAGACTGGTGTGGATAAAAGGCAGAGCAATGCTGGGTAGAAGAAAAAGATAACAAAGTAAAAAATTCATTAATTTCTCAAATTTTGGTGAATGATGGTTTTATGGCCCATCATTACGTAGTATAATATATGGAATAAAATTAAGATGAAAATGGAACACTGTTTAAATAAGAAACATGGGTAAGTGAACAGTGATTCAGACAATATTTCTCACGAGCTCATGTGAAGCAGGATGTAATCTCTCGTATGCAAGAGACCTTCCGATTGCTCAGGAGCAATCAGATCCACCACTCGGAGATAAAGGGCAAATAAATGCCAGCGGTCAGAGCAGTAACAGCATGGGAGTCATGACAAAACCACAGGCAGCTGTGGTTGAGATGGCTGCTGACAGCTCACCCTGTATTCAACCTGCAGTTTTCCTGCTGCCATAGAGCTGGTCCTCTCCCAGGCCCACGGAGCGGATGCCTGGTGGTGGATAGGAAGCAGTTTTCTGGGCACTGGTGATGGAGAGCAGATTGGAAACCCCAGCTGCCCGCGTAAACCTGTGCAGCCCTGTTTTGTCTGTGCAAGTTCTCTGTGGGTATAAGTGGCACTGCTGTCTGGCAGGCCAGTTCTTTGCCAACACCCCTTGGCTCGTGTGAAGCTGTTAGTTGATGCTCTCAAGAAAATGCGTTCTAAATTTGGTTTAGACTTAATTTAAGTGATTTTAACCTGCAGGCAGCTTGTGCTGATCTTTTCCCTCCTTGTGCTACCACTTTTACTGCTGAAAAGGTCTTACTGAAGCATTTTGTCAGATGGGAGTAGCCCCTATGGGTAGTTACTGCAGAAGCCCATTGCTTGTGGCTGAAAGCTTCTCTGAACAGTGAAGTCTAACAGAGAGGTGGGGTAGATGATCTCATGGGTATTTCTGTTTCTATCTGTTACAATTTTTGTGCATATAAAGCCATTTTAATCCTTTCCATTCGAGTGCATTGTATGCACAGAAATGTTTTCTTAATAGTGACATGAGGCATGCTGCTACATGGGCAAGGTTATAGTCAGACGCTATGACTGAGTTGGACTAAGTTATTTTTGGAAATAGATCATTTCAGAATTAAACCTTCTTCTTTTTACCAGATTTTATAGTTGAGTATATTTTGAATGTTCTGTGTATGATGCCATTGGCTATTTTGTGAAGAGACTATGAGGGTTGTACAGATGTCAGCACCCAAGAATTAGGATGTAGTAGAATGAGAGATAACTGTAACCTTTGTTGACCGCGTGGTTTTATGGAGCATGATTCAGTCCCAGTGACTTTCCTTCTCCCATGACCTGTGGTTTTTTTAAGTGTGCAGGATAAACAAGTGGCACAAATGTGGCAAGTGCAGAGAATGTGGCAGTGGCTACTGAGTTGCAGAAATTGTAGGGAAATGTTTGGTAGAGGCATGAGCACTCTTTAGGAACAGAAAGCAACTTCTTGTGGTGAAAGCATTTTTCTCCTTGTATTGCTCCTATTATGCGTGGTGGTGTTCTCACATTCAGAACCCAGATAACAAAACGTTTTCTGTGTCTAACAGGTAATAAATACGGAAGAGTGGATTACTGAAATATAAACTGAGAGAGTCAGATATAAACCTCAAGATAGTAAAAAGGTTTAATAACCTGTAATCAGGATTTACCAATGATTTGTGCTTAGGTAATGGCATCACTGTTTTTTTCCAACACACAGGATATGTTTTACTTTACTTCAGGCAGCTCCCTGTTCCCTGTAACTGCTAAACTACAGGATGTTATGATTATAGATGTAGTGACACTGTTGTTGCAGAATCACTGCTGATAAATTATGGTGGGATGGCAGCTGTAAATACAGCTTCTGTTGTGATTTAAGAGGGAGATGTGAAGGCATATTGCCCAGATGCTTGATCAATGGTAAACAGGGCCAGAAGCAGCATGCTAAAACTTAAAAGTCCTTGCCAGATTTTGAGATTTGGAGTCATCGTTTCAAGCATTAGCTCCTTCAGTATCAAAATAATCAGCTGCTCTGGTCCTCCCCTTCTCCTTTGTCTCCAGCCAAGATTTATTTACCTTTGCAAGCAGGAGCTGACACGCAAACCATTTTTTTCAGTGATTTTTTTGAGATACAAGAGCTTCTTCAGCAAGCTGCCAAGTCACTAGTATCTATTTGAGCTACAGCGCTTGTGGCTTCATGTCATGTCCCTTGTGACCTTCCCATTCACCTGCTTAACTGTCAGGAAATGTGTGGCCGTTTGGAGCTGTGTAGTTCTGCTTCTTAAGGCTGGAGAAACAATAAGCCAGTCGTTACAGATTAGTGTAATAAACCACACCAGAAGCAAAATCAGCTATAATCAGGATTCATTTGATGCAAAAAGGGCACATAGCTTTGGTCACTCAGCCCCCTGCTCTGAAGATGACAGTCCTGTGCAAGTAATACTCGTATTGACGGATGAGATGGCAAGAAAAATTTCAATATACAATTGTTAACTTCACAGTGATTTTAACCTGGCTTCTCTCAGAGAAACCCCACACATCCTGATCTGAACTCTGGTGGAAGCTTGGTTATTTTTTTCCCTGAAATGAGAAATGAAAATGACTGCCTCCGGAGGATCTCCCTGGGATTCAGACTAAAATGAGGCTTGTATTTGCATTGATACTAAGGACAAAATCAGGATTGGCAGACCAATGTGTGAATTTGCACACATACTGGGACTCAGAACATGGCTGAATATTGTTCAACCAAGACATCTTAGCTGGTCTCTGCCTAAAATTCAGTCCTATTCAGTAGAAGGGATTTTTTTCTTGGGTCTCTTTAATGTCACATTCCATTTACAATTGTAATAAATGCTGTAACTTGTTTCCCTCTCCCCTATCCCTCAAAAAATGACAGAGAGGAATCTTTTGCTAAGCCTTTGATAACAGTTCTTTCTTTTTGTTCCAGATAACTTCAAACAAGAAGCACTTGGAGAGCCTGAAGAATGATGGCAATGCTCTTATCCAAACTCTAGAGAGCCTGGCCCAAACTGCCAGGTGAGTTCCCTCAGGCTTCCAGGAATTTCCAGGGCTGAGAGTGCTCCCCTCCTCTTTTGTCTGCGATGGTCTTCTCCTGTAATTCTGTGCACTATGAGCTTCTCAGGTTTCTGTCCCTGCCCCCTCCCCGCACTCTCTCCTCCAAAGTGCTCTCATTCAGCACTTATGGCATGCTTTGATCCTTTGATCCCCAGCTGGGTTGAGCCGCAGTGTGCGGCCCGGTCCAGCTCCGTGGGTGTGCCTTGGTGATTTTGCAGCTTGCTTGTTTTTATAAATTTATTATTTTATTCCAAACACTTGGTTTCTATAACCGGATACCTGTCAGTGGTTCTTGGCTGGATGCCCTGTTTTAAGGTGACTGTGTTTGGTGCACTTGCAAGCTGATTCCTTTAAGACGTAAGGCTGAGGAACAAAACTGCTTTTGTTTAAGAATACCTGTGGCATCTCCGAGAAGGCACGAGACTTAGGGGAATGCCGTGGCCTTCTCTGCATGAACAGAGGTGCTAGTCCCAACAAGCTGGCCAAACCTTAGCTCATCTCCCATAGACTTTGCCTCATCTAATCCCCTGTGGACATATGAATGAATGAATGACTGTTCTCTGCCCCTCAAAACAAATTTTACACTTCTGCTATGGACTGTTAGGCTTCACTGCGCTCCTGGTTGGACTAAAATTCATAGAGAAGTTGTAGTTTGTAAGTCAGATTTTGAAGCACTAAGGTAATCCTTTCAGTGCCCTTTGTGCTCCCAAATGCAGGCTTTTGGGAAAATTGGCTCCTGGACATTGTGTCAGTGTGTACTCTGTGTTGGAAGGAAGGAGGGCTGTGAGCACATGTGGAGAGGAAATACTGGGATGTGCTGAGTGTAAGGAGATGCACACTGAGGACTAACCAAATCTGTTGAGAACAGTCAGTATCCCTCTCACACACTCAGCTGCTGACTCACAGGTTTTTGTATGACACATTAAATTATCTATCTGAAATAAAGCATCAGCTCACCCCAAGGGAGACACAGGCACCACCACTGAAGATGATAATGGAGGAAGATGGGTTTTCTTCTGTTAGAACCAGCTTTCATTCTGTTTTGTAGCATTCCAGCATTAGATGCACTAGACTGTCTAGTGCACATCGCTGTCTTTGAGTCTGCTTTTCTGGCTTCCTCAATAGTCTGTTAGAGTCTATACATTTCTGTATGCAGAAACCCACATGCTACAGAGTCCAAATAAACAGCACTCACTCTTATTTAACACAAGATGCTCAGTAGATGAAATTCTGGCTGATGCCATTGAGAAGTGTTTTGATACATTAGAGTGAGCCAAGTTCCTCTGCTGTGCTGAGCTCCTGCACTGAGAATTCACTGATTTCATTTCCCCTCCTCCCCTTCTTTAGGGAACACATGCCCCTATCCATTTGCCTCCAGAAGAGACCAAGACCATTACAGCCTGGATCTTGGGGCTGTAATGGACTCAGACATGGATAAATTGGCAACAGACAAGCAGGAGAAGCCTGGAGTTAGCAAGCTTTATCAGACTTAGTTAAATGGCCATTTTTTTATGGAGGGTATGGATATTTTGCATTCTCTTCAGATTCTCTTATGTTGCCATGTTTCCTTGTGACCTAATAAACTTGATCTCCTCACCTGTGCTTTGAACCTGGTTAAGGAGCCTCCCTGTATCTCATGCAGAATTGGAAATGTTTTAGAGAAGGCTACAACAAAGATCCTGGATATAAGCCATCCTGAGTATACTAAGCTCCCAGGCCCTTCCACTCACATATTACCACTGAGTTGAATTGATTGAGGAGTGGTTTTGCTTTGCTCATTTCTTACAGACAGGTTTCTAATCTCTCACTCTTCCTATGTGTCAGAAGGGAGATTCCAGCCAAGTCACATGCCAAGAGGAGGGCACTGCTTGAATTGCAGCTGCTTTTGGTGCTCCCCTGTTGCCCTGTAGCAGCCATGGATTGTCAAACTCTATCTCTGTGATGCATCCTCAGCTAGTTGCAACAGGTAGTTTTAAGAGTGACAAAACCAACCCATTTTGCTTAGTAACCACCTGGAATAAAATCTACACTTGAAAATGTGGGCTTGTAGCCATTTCTCAGTGAAGACAGTTGCCAAGATGAATTTGTTTCAGATAACTGAATTTTCTGATTTAAACTGCTGCTCCTTAAGGCATTGGCTTACATAGTGTGAACTGATCATTTGGATTTCCTGGCTAGCTCTGCATTCCCCAAAGTGTGGAGTAGCATCAGTAGGTATTGTCATTAGCAGCAACCAGGGGAGTTGCAGACTGATCTGCTGCTGTCCTTTCTAAGCTAAAGATGGGGGATGGGAATCTATAAAAACTTAAAAGACATGTTTCTGTGGACAAGCAGTATTGTGTTAGAGCCTCGGTTCCAATGCTAGGAAAAAAAGGTGTTTCCAGAAGGAAAAATTTGGCAAAATACATATACTAAAACCTTAGGTGAGGAAGCAAAGGGCCCCACCATTTGATCTCAAGCCTGCAGTGCTGTGGGTGGAGGGGCAGTCCATCCTCCTTGCAGGAGGTGGGAAACACCTGGAGTGGAACTGCCTACCTGTGCAGAGCAGCGCTGCAGTAAGAGAGCTGTATGTGTGAAAACATCTTTCTGTCAAGCTGGGAATGTGCGTGTGTGTAGATTCATGGGGGCCATGATAAATTATATCTTCTTTTTTTACAGAGTTTTAACAGAGGAGGTTGAGTGAGGTAGCAGTGACTGGGAATTTGAGCTGAAATTCACTTCTACACAAGATTTGCGTCAAGGCAGAATCAGAAGTTACCTGTTACTGCTTAACAGAAAAGTGGACATAGAGTGCAGTTAATGGCTATTCAGAATTTTCTAACATACATAAAGGCAAAGGTGGAATTTGAACAATACGTTTTTTCCCTGAGAATGTCTAATAGATGTTACTCTTTTTAATTCCTAGCTCTCATGCTGATGTTGCTGTCGCTTCCTTGGCATTTGAAATTCTGAGAACAGCGGGACATGAAAATATCAAGACTACCAAGTGAACCGGTTTTGACTGGCCCACCAAAATGTGCAGTTGTGCGCGCTGCTCAGCACCTCAGTCCTGCAGGAACATCTTCAGATGAGCTGAGCAGATGTAATTTAGCAAGCTGAGTTGCAGCATATGCAGGAATTTGGAAGGCTTCAGGAAGGGAGGGAAGCTGGTTCTAGGGGGTGGTTTGTTTTTTAAACCCCTGTAAGGATGAATTCTTGGTTACTACTTTACCTTGTTGGCATTACATTACGTAGCTCAAGTATCTGACAGTTTGAAAGTGTAAATTAAATAAATAGTACAGTTATTTCACAATATAAAGTGTTTCACTATTTTAAGCTGCTATTAGAAATGCTCATTTATCTTTTGGACCAGGTGACTGCCCTGGCTGTTTATTTTAAGGGGTCCCCTCATGCTCGTGACTGGCACTAGAAAATACCTTTTCATCTACACAGGCAATATTCTTCACCTCAAGCAACCAGAACCAATCCCTGTGATCACACAGAGGCTGTGTATGGATGATACATATTACTGGGTTTTTACCCAGTAGCATGAATTATTTGTGTGTGTGCCCCACCCTTTCCTAGTTTCCTGCACAGCTAAAACTGCACTGGTGGAGTGTCATTCTCAGCTGCCAATGCTGAGCTCTTCTTCGAAAATAGGTGCGATGATGACCCTGGCAGTTTGGCATATCCCCATGGAAAGTTGGTACCCTAGGAATGGTCCTTTAGAGCTTGGAGATACCACAGAGTGTAAAGAATTAATGTCTTCTCCACATGTGCTGTGAAGACCACTTCTTAATGTCTGTCTGTCAGTGCAGTAACTCCATGTTCCCGCTGCACCTACCAAACACAGGTGCCTATTGGCAGTTGCTGCTACACCACCTGCTCTTGGACAGCCCAGTTATCCAGAGTATGTGGAGGCAAGCAAACACCCTGGGTAAACAGATATCACTGTGTGTGTCCTGAAGGAATTATTTTCTCATATTACTTCAAATATCACTGTGTATCTTTCGTAGCTTAATAGCTGGAGTTACTAGGAATGGGGAAAAGTTCAGTGGTGGCTGTTATTTGGTGCAGTGTTTTACAGTAAGGGTCATCTAGCATGAGTGTGGCAGAGAGGAACAAAGTGTGTTACTGGGTGAGACTTTCCCCTCTGCAGCTGCAGTGCCTTTGGTCTGCAAGGGAGAGGGGGAGTGCTCTGGCGTGTGCTTCCCTTCAGCTCTCATCACACTGAGCCACGAGCCTCTGCAGCCAAGGCCCTCTCTGATCTCCTGCTGGCAAACTGCTGCCTGAGGTGGAAGTGACTGGGAGCGTTCGCTCCCGCCGAGGCTGGTGACAGCTGCACGGTGCAGATGTGCACTCTATGGCTTAGTCGGCACTTTCAGAACCACTTTCCCGCTTCCAGCCACACAGGTGCTGCCTCCAGAGGAGTCAGCTACACACAAGTCTTATCTTGCACAGTAACTGAAGACTGAGGACACCTGAAAATGGGTTTAAGCTCCTGAACCAGCTGACAGCTTGCACACAAAGGATCTTCATCTCACTGACCCTGTGACAGCACACTGCTGAACGGAACTGAGGCAAGACACTGTTCTCACTTTCTGAAGCCCAGAAGTGAGCGTGGGGCTGGCAGGCCAGGCACAAAGTGTAGTTGCTAGGTTAGACCTCCCCCACGCTGAGGAACCTGCCAAAGCAAAGCAGCAGCAAGTCAAGGGGAAGAATACTGCCTCAGAGGACTGCAGTAGGAAACCTCCAAGCTCCAAAGGGTAACTATTTCATAGTGGGATGAAAAAGGAAATGATTCTTGACTCCCTCCTCTGAAGTACTTAAATGATTGTGTAATTCCAGGACGATTTTTAGGAGACTTGTTAACACACATGAATAAACTTTGTGATGTGAAATAATTTGACACAGAGTGAATTAAAAGTTTACTTTAATTTTGAACCATTTTATAACTGCATTTTTCTCATGAAGCATCTGTATCACAGCAGGCTACAATAACTTTGGGATAAAAGGCAACTGGTAAACTGTCCAATACAAGGTTCCAAATAAACAGTTCTTACTGGCCCCTACCCAGACATATCCCAGATAAAGTTTTTGATCAAAAACATGAAATAGATCCACCTGCTTATTTTAAGCATATTAAAAAGGAAACTAATTGGACCATTTCTATTTGTCTAGTTTTTTTATACAAAAAGGCTACACAATGTTACACTTTATTCAGAATACAGTTAGAGCGATTATGAATTAGTGTTCTACACCTTTACTCAATCCTTAAAAATTAGAAACTGCTGTAGCATATTCACTATAACTTAATACTACGAGAGACTTTAAAAAAAACTAACAACAATTACTGCAAAAGGAAAGGCTACTTCCAAAGCAAGCAAGGTCAGTACCATTACAGAGATTTAAAAAAAATAATAAATTTTTAACAAGCAAGGCTAGGGTTTGATAAATTCCATCTTGCAACTCATTCTTGTGCATTCTTCGTTTCTTGAATCACTCCCAAAATCCATTTGTATTATTACTCCTCGACCAAAAAGGACCAGAACAAAAAGTTTACTTCAATTGTTCCCATAGGAAACTCAGCTTGGTTAGTGTGTCAGGCACTTTCTGAGATACTAGCCCACCCCTCGAGCCCTCTCAGCAACTCTACAGGCCAATCAATGCAAGTTCACTCAGATGATACAGCTGCAAAGAGAAAAAAGACAGGTGTCAGTGTTCCTGAGTAGTAAAGGGCTGTTCTAACACGTGAAGACTGCATGAAGCCAGTGCACAAGACATTACAGTTAATTACTTCCACACTTCACGGCAGAAGTCAGTTTGGAGTGTGCTGATCGAGTGTTTCCAGAGCATTTATTCATTATTCTGGCACACTGGGACCCAATCGAGCCAATCCCTCCCTGCCAACCAAAGTCCTCAGTCCAGTCAGCTGTTTTTCTCTTTTTGTTTTGTTTTTAAATTCAAGGTTGGAGCTTCTTACCTAAAGGATGATTTACAGGTCAGTATCGAACCAGGCCAACTGATTACTGTCACCTGGAGGCAGCCCATCCATAAGGTCCTGGGCATGGCCAAGATCTGGCAGACCATCAACTGGGTAGTCAGCACCAGGGTGGTGGCCACCCATTTCATGTTCCATCATAGGGTCCATACCCAAGGCATCCTGACCGTATCCGCCAGAGTGGAAAGAACGGTAGCTAGGATCTAAGAAAGTTAAAGGTGGCAGAGGGAAAAAAAGCATAATGTTAACAGATGTTAGATGCATCAGAAGCTGCAAGTATCAGTGTGTGAGGAGATCGTGTAGCCATCTAATTGTTTTCTAGTTCAGCCAAGTTCAACACAATCTGTTGCCTGCTCTTAATGGCTATTCCATTGTTTGAAACAGCCTTCCAGTATGATTCTGCAGACAAAGCACACTGCAGTCAGAAGCACGAGCAGATTCCAGCCAAGCCATTAGTCTGCACAATCGACAGTACTAAAATTCAACAATACTGCAGCAAAACCAGGCTCCAAGACTAGACTTGCTTCTAAAAGACTAGTCAAAAATAGCTCAGAATCCTTAGGGATAGGCTTGCGTTCAAGTCTATAGACACTTACAGACTAATGCATTCAATAACAGCTTTGTTGTTTTAAAGAAAAACTGCACTATTGGAATTGTCAAGTCCATTTGTAAAGAATGTAAAAGATTTCTGTAAACAACAGCTCAGTGGGAGCTGTTCCCACAGGACTCAGACAAGAGACACCAGTTTTGCATGTTCATACAGCTCCCATTTCAGTGCTGCCAGTGGTGTTGCAGGAACTGGTTATTTGAAATGGCAGTTCCCCATCTGCCTGTCAGTTTGCAATACCGTGCTGAAGAGTAAATTCACTCTTCACTCATTTGCAGTTCTCCTTTAAAATCTATGACTTGACTTCATCCAACTTAAGTTTAGTCAAGGGGAACAGCAGAGACCTACCATCTGGGCGGTATCCAAGAGGTTCTCCCTGGGCACCAATATCGAGTCCAAGATCTGCTGTCTACATGTACACAAAAAAATGACAAAACAGTTTTAGCATCAGGTCTTTCAGTCAGCACTAGTAATTCTGAGTTTAAAAAGCTGTGAAACTCATCCCAAGATCCCTTTGAGCAACTCTTCTGCAGTGAGCACTGCAGCACTGCTGCGAACATGAAATGCCTTTTTAGCTAAACATCTGCATCTAATATAGGTATAATAGGCAACATGAAATAGCCAGATTTAGGTACAAGAATCCACAGATCACTGGAAGGAGGGTTCTCTTTGGGAAGGAAAGAGATGGGGCAGGTCTGGGAACACTCCTCAGGTACATCTGCCCAACTCCTGCAAGTCAGCTGTTTGGATATTCCCAAGTCAGCAAGAGAGCTTTTAAGAGTTCTGAAGGAACCTTTCCCATTTGTTCAATTACAGAAGTAATTGTCTGCCTGTCTGCAGAGAAACTGCTTAACTCCAGTCTCAAAGAGATATTCCATTTTAGCTCCTCCCCCCCCAATTCCTGTGATAGATACAGACTTTAGGAAAACAGAGACATAAGCACTGAAACAATACAAAGGGTTACTATCCCTTATGTAGTAGATACATACAAGATAAGACAAGCTAGGCTTCTGAATCTAAAGAATCTGCAGGAAGACAAAGAACTAATGAAGCCTTCCCTTCTACCCCTTGCACACAGTTTGTTTTCAGTCTCAATTTAGTTCCTTTAAGAACGAGGAAAGGCTATGTGTGATAATCAGCCTGCAAACATAGTCAAGTCTGAAAACTCAGTTCTAAGAGCATAAGTTGCATCCCCCCTTCAAGATTACTAATCCTACATTGTTGGTTTGATAGAAGCCTCACGTGTTATGTTTTATATTATGCTTCCCTCATATCACTCATGTTTCTCTTTTTGCATCCAGAGTTCATTAGACTTTGACAAGCAGCACAGAAAAGTACAAAGTTCTTGTATACAGCTTTGCACACTAGCACACTTTAGCACCAGCAGAGAATGGACGCTTCCTATCTGCAAGTGAAGAAGCAGCTTGAAGGCTGCTTACCACAGGTTCACTGACCCTGAACACGTAGAGAGTCAAGAAGGTACAGTCACACAGCTGTGTATAAAGGCGGGCCTATATCACTGAGGGCATCTATACTTCACTATTGGAAGAAGAGAGGACATAGAACTAAGGTGTCCCCAAGGAACCATTAGCACAGAAGACATGACTCACCTCGTTCCAAGCCATTGGCTCAGTCCGGAACAGAGAGCTTGTCAATTCAACCGAAAGTCGCTTCTTATAGTCCTGTGGTTTGTCCTCAGACATTCTG